ACACGATGGCGTTGTTGGAGCACTACCAGCTGGCAAAGAAATCGTTCATCACCTGACATGACCTTTTATGTTCAATCACCCTTTGACGACGCATTGCTAGCTCCCACCGCACGAGCTGCGGCGTGATGACCAAAATGCGACGACGCAGACGAAGTTTTCTTTGCGCGCAAAGAGCGCGACTGTGTGCATTCAGAAGCGTTTGTCTATGGCTATCAGCTGGCAGTCAAAACACATCGGTGCGATCCTGGTTTTATTTTAGTCGGCCAATCCCCATACAGGGTCTTACTCAATGCACGGGGGCCAGGAAGTGCGGATATTTGTGTGATTTTGATTGATATTTGTTAAGACGTAAGTCAAACCACCAAATAGCGCTTTATTTTCGGCGTGATCCCTGTTTTTGGCAGAACGAGTCGTAAGATAGTCGTGCAAGCCTCTATGGAAACTTACTCTGGGCGCACCGTCTTGTGGGCGTGGTGAGTAAATGACCCAACCATGATGTGACAACACGATTTGCCACATCGCAACGTGATCGCTTGGGAACCCGTCACCCCCCCCCCCAAAAAAAAAAATCGACGTTCGTCTCCGTATGGCACTTCGTCATTTTCCAGGGCGCGATGTAGCCGATTCAAAACAGCCTCAAGCCGAGGCAGAGCTCACCTGGATTTAGCAATCAGAGGCTTGCCACGCTGCGATATGGTTTACGGAAACGGAGCCCAACAGACCTCGCACCTAGCCCCCGCATAGAGCTCTTACAACCACAAGCAGAAGCAGCCGACATTTTGCAACACATTGATTCCTTTAGCTATAAGGGAGTTGCGCGGACTGGACCGAGCACATTCCGCGTAAGCTGGCACCCGCGGCATCAGCCGCACAAACGACAGCTCTGGGCGAGCACAGAGCGCTGGACCGAGCACATTCCGCGCAAGCTGGCACCCGCGGCATCAGCCGCATAAACGACAGCTCTGGGCGAGCACAGAGCGCTGGACCGAGCACATTCCGCGTAAGCTGGCACCCGCGGCATCAGCCGCATAAACGACAGCGCTGGGCGAGCACAGGGCGCTGGACCGAGCACATTCCGCGCAAGCCGGCACCCGCGGCATCAGCCGCATAAACGACAGCGCTGGGCGAGCACAGGGCGCTGGACCGAGCACATTCCGCGTAAGCTGGCACCCGCGGCATCAGCCGCACAAACGACGGTTCTGGGCGAGCACGGAGCGCTGGACCGAGCACGTTCCGCGCAAGCCGGCACCCGCGGCATCAGCCGCATAAACGACAGCGCTGGGCGAGCACAGGGCGCTGGACCGAGCACATTCCGCGCAAGCCGGCACCCGCGACGACAGCGCTGGGCGAGCACAGGGCGCTGGACCGAGCACATTCCGCGCAAGCCGGCACCCGCGGCATTAGCCGCATAAACGACAGCGCTGGGCGAGCACAGAGCGGACGTCCCGACGGATCGCATTTAATGTGGTCGTCGGACCAGCAGGCAGTTCTGATCTACCCGTAAAGTCGATTCAGCTATGTCAAGTATCATAAGTAGGTGTCAGTGGCTACTTCCAAGAATCCTGCCATCTTGCAGAGTTCGGCGTCATGTTCCTCGATGGCAAATAACAACCCAGGCCGCCCAACGCGTGATGATTCTTTTTATTGCACGCTGTCCCTAGTTATAGCTCCCATCATACAAAACCCGTCATCATAAACGTATTTTCGTACGCTGTCTGTGATGAATTGGTCCCCTCAATGATTTTTGATTTACGTATGATTTACGTAACATTAACATTTACGTAACATACGTAACAATGATTTACGTAACATTCAACGCACTGCAATGAGTTGCTGCAGTGCACTGCAGAATTCAAACAGCTCAAAGGCACATAAGATATCCAACAGCTGGAAGACATTGCATTCCGCACATTACAAACCCCTTCCGGTGCGCGCCCCACGCCCTCCTCGGACAAGTATTTTGTCCGCCGCGCTTCCGCTGCCGGTCCGGTGCGGGTGCCGCCATTGTCTCGGGCACGGATGCCGGAAGGGGGGATGCGGCGCGCGATCCCTGCTCAGTCGGACGGCGGTCCCGCCTCGTAGGCCAGCAGCGCCCGGCACAGCCGCGCCAGCGCCAGCTCCAGCTGCTCGCCGCTCAGGTAGCTGACGCTGAGCCGCAGGTGGTGCGCGCAGCCGGCGCCGCCGGCCGAGCAGGCGGGGCCGGCGCGCACCGCCACGCCCTGCCGCCGCTGACACCAGGCGGCGAACGGCGCCGCCTCAAACGGCACGCGCAGCCACAGGAAGAAGCCGCCGGCCGGCGGCCGTAGCTGGTACCGGTCGGCCGGTAGCGAGGCGTGCAGCAGCTCCACCGTCCGGCGCATCTTTTCCTGAGGAGCACGGACACCGTCAGCGATCTCCTGAGGAGCACGGACACCGTCAGCGATCTCCTGAGGAGCACGGACACCGTCAGTGATCTCCTGATGGACACGGATGTAGTAAGGATCTCCTGACGGTCAAAGACACAGTTTCTGATCTCCTGGCCAACAGGGACACAGTAAGTGATATACTGACGAATGCCGTTAAGCGGTGTTTCGATCACTTGATAAGCAATGTCAAGCACATCCCCGGGTGGTAAATCATCATCCCCCGACACGGTCTTGGTTATGGTCAGGCGGTAACGCACGTACTGATGAACACGGACAGACGGGTGTCCACACACGATCTGACTCCGACAAGACCACCGGTAGTCGCGTCGGGTTCTTCAACAAGTCATGACATAAAGAAGCATACCAATGCATGAGTACACGTTTTATACACGTAATAGCTTTTTTATTGAAGTTTCAGACGAAATGTCCTGTAGATTAAACGTGCATGCTAAGTGAGCAGAGAATCACAGGCCCAGACGCAGAGGAGGAGATCCACCATCCGACGCTGAATCTCTCCAAACACGTGCTTCAAACGGACTCAGAGGGGTTGGCATGCGGCGCTCTGTTCTCACAGACGTTTTAGCTAGATGGCCTGAGGCGTGAAGCTTGAACCTACGACTCCAGCTTGCGGTTTAGTTACAGATTCACTGTCCCAAGCAGGCGTTGTGCCCGCCGCAACGGCGGCTGGTAATATTTCGTAGCGTGTGGCGCGGCCGACACAGCGAACATTGCGCCGCAACCTCCCGCCCCATGCCAAGGCGTCCCACCGATCAGCTATGTCCTGGCCTTTTTGGTCGGTCATGTCAAAACATGCTCAGACTCTACGACTTGACCCGGCGCACTTGGCTGCGTGTCAAACACCCCGCTTCTACCAGGTCACGAACGACACTCGCAGTGTCGGTCGTGAGACTATACCCATCGTCGGTCGAGAGACTATACCCATGCCAGCCAACGGCTGTTGTGTGCGTGTGTTCGCGCGGGAGGGGGGTCATAGACTTTAAGTGATTCTCTTATCAGAGCTGATCGGAAAGTGCATCCAGACGGCGGCGCGGCAGCGCGCCGCATCCGAAGAAGTCTCAACAGCCCGTACATCCGGCCAGCGGCGAGCGGGGCCCGGCCTCTGACCTGCAGCTGGGCCATGATCAGGTCCAGGTGCCGGTCCAGCGCGCCCTGCTGTATGGCGCTGGCCAGCACAGCCGACATGAAGCCGTTCACGGCGCCGCCCGAGAACAGGATCTTCCTGCGGCCAACAGCAGGCAGCGTCATCGGCAACGAGACATACGGAGGCGCCTTCCCACAGCCGCGGCGGGCGCGCGTTGCAGGCACGCCGCTGGGCTGGACGGCGGCCGGCTCGCTCACACAGGCACGGGGAAGTATCGATCATGATCACGGTGAAAAGCAATTCGGAGCCCACCGTTTTAGAGCAGGCGACAACAGGCCACATGCATTGAAAACAGAGCTGACATCAGCGCGCGTCACTCAGCCGAACAAACCGTGGCCCTTGGTGAGTGCAGTGGGCGTGAGCTCCGTGGTACAGCGCACGGCGGTACCTCTCCCACACGCCACACCCGTTCATCTCCCCGAAACACGTGCAGACACGCGCCGGCGCCGCTGACGGACTCACGAGCCGTGCAGGATGTCGATAACGCGGGGTGGCGCCTGCAGCCAGCCGACGCGCACGCCCGGCGCGCAGATCTTGGAGAAGGTGCCGGCCGACACCACGTGTCCGGCCCAGCCCGGCTCCGACGGCAGGTCGTAGGTCAGCAGCAGCGGCGCCGGCGGGCCCGCGGCGTACGTCAGAAGACTGTACACGTCGTCGCAGAACACCAGCAGGTCGAAGCGCCGCGCCAGCGCCACCAGGCGGCGCCGCTTCCCTGCAGCGGGACGGCGGCCGGTCAGCGAGGAGCGACGTCGCCGCCGGCGGGTCCCGGCGACTCACAGCGACTCAGTCCACCGCCGGCCCAGAAGGCCGGCACCGGCCGCGCCGCCGCCGCGCTCCGGCCGGGCGCCGGCGACCACGGGGCCGCCGCCGCTTACCGGGCGACATGGAGGCGCCGGTCGGGTTCTGATGGTCAGGGATGACGTACAGCAGGCTCCAGAACGGCCGGCGTCGGCTGGCGGTGAACTGGCGGCCGGCCCGCAGGGCGGTCAGCTGCTGCTCCAGCGCGTCCAGCGCCAGGCCGTCCTCCTCCAGCGGCACTGGGAGCGGAGGCCAGCCACGTGAGATCTCTGATTCGGAACACCGGCCGACGTGGCACACCTTCCATGACCGCACAGCCCGTCTTCTATCCGATCTGCCATGCACATGTACACGACAAACCACGTTTGTGAGAATTTCAAATACATATGCGCTGACATGCACATATCTGATGTCACACAATGCGTGAATTCATATTGTCCTACCTGTTCACACAGTGCTAATCTTAAGCTGGCCGATCCGTTTCCGCGCACGCCCTGACCAGGCTAGTGGTCACGCGGCGCTCACCAGGCACGAGGCGCATGCGCAGGTCGTCTCGCAGCATATCTAGCGCCAGGTAGTAGGATGGCTCTTCCACGAACACCAGGCTGCCCGTGTCGAAAAACTGCGACACTACCAGGTGGAGTGCGTGCGTGGCGCCGCACGTCAGCACCAGACTGGCGCTGGGAGCGGGTATCACAGGTCAGCACAGACTGGCGCTTGGGGTGCGTACCACAGGTCAGCACAGACTGGCGCTGAGGGCGGGTACCACAGGTCAGCACAGACTGGCGCTGGGGGGCGGGTACCACAGGTCAGCACAGCCTGGCGCTGGGGGCGGGTACCACAGGTCAGCACAGACTGGCGCTGGGGGCGGGTACCGCAGGTCAGCACAGACTGGCGCTGGGGGGCGGGTACCACAGGTCAGCACAGACTGGCGCTGGGGGGCGGGTACCACAGGTCAGCACAGACTGGCGCTGGGGGCGGGTACCACAGGTCAGCACAGACTGGCGCTGGGGGCGGGTACCGCAGGTCAGCACCAGACTGGCGCTGGGGTCGGGTACCTCAGGTCAGCACCAGAATGGCGCTGGGGGCGGGTACCGCAGGTCAGCACCAGACTGGCGCTGGGGGCAGGAACCATCGGTCAGCATCAGACTGACAGAGGGGAGCGGGCACCAGAGATCAGCAGCGGACTGCTGTATGGGGGTGATCACGGTGGTCAACGCCAGTCACTGTGGGGGGGCACCAGAGGTCAGCAGCGGACTGCTGTATGGGGGTGATCACAGTGGTCAACGCCAGTCACCGTGGGGGGCACTGGAGGTCAACGCCAGACTGGCGCTGGCGACGCCACCAGACATTATCGTCCACACTATCTCACCAAGCTGCCACTGGGAGGTGGAAGGGGGGGGGGGGTCGCAGAGGGTGCAGCCTGAGCCGGGGCAGCGCTCAATCCCCAGCCGGGCCGGGTCTGGTGCGCCCCTTTGACGCGGACGCGCCACAGGCACCGACGCCTTCCTGGACGGCCTGAGCTCCCTGCTGCCGCGGCGCTCTGGCTTCACTGCATACAGCTGGGGGTACTTAACTGCACTGACCATCAGTCAGGCATGCAAGAATACGCAGATAGCAACTACCAATGATTGTTGAGCCGTACCTGCTGACTGCTCGGTCGTAGCGCTGGGAGAGAAATTGCCAATGATTGTTGGGACGTACCTGCTGACTGTTTGGTTGTAGCGCTTTGAGAGAAATTCCGCGAGCGTTGTGCGGAAGCGGTCACTGCCCAGCTGGGGTCCATAGTTCAGATTCGGGCAGTTGGGTGGCTCCACATCCTAGAAATAAACACAATGGTGATGGCATACAGAATCCTCAGATATAAGGATCGTCCACAGATGACGTTGTGATGTTCTCGTAATGCTGCTGGCGGCAAGAATCTAGGTCACGGCAGTGTGAACACATGCTTCAGTGATCTAAGAAAATACCATACAAGTTCCAGCCTGCTTGGGCTTTGGGCAATATCCAGTATCTTACGATGGCATGGGCAGTAGCAGAACTAAGCAGGGCCTTGGCTCGTTTCAGAATATCTTCGTTATGTCCGCCGTAAGCCAGGCTGAGCGTGTTGGGCTCAGCTGGCAGGTCCTCTAGCTCATTATTCCCGGAATCCATGGCTCTATAACCAAATAACATTGACATGTTAGATGTTTTGCGTGTCATGTGTATGCAAACACACACACATGCACACACACACACACACACACACACACACACACATATATATATATATATATATATATATATATATATATATATATATATATATATATATATAGCAGCTCATCAAGGGACATGTACTATCTTTATCTAAATTCATTGCTTGATGTTTTCAACACACTGCATATTCATTCTTAAAAACAAAATCTGGCCTATCGGTTCTTGGCAGCAGCTGACACACATAGTCAGAACATAAAACATGAACCTACAAATAACAATAAACTTCTCGGGAGATGTCATTCACCATCGCTCTGGCTTGGCACCAAGTATTCGGCTCATGAGACGAGTACTGTAGTCGCGTTGCACGTGATCTCCCGGTGTCCTTCCCTTAAAGTGCATTGTGAGACGTCGGGACAGTCGCGATGATGTAGTCACGCCAATGTAGCATATGGAACGAAGCCCACAGTTTTGGTTAGGGCAAGAAACTGTTTGCGCTGCATCAGGAACTCAGCCAGGCTTTCTTAAGGACACAGCTTGCTAAGGACGAATTACGCTAATTTCTCAACTTTCTGTAGGGAGTCCTCTATGGTGAAAAAGGAAAAGTCCGGGCCTATGGAGGGGTCCGGCCCAATGTTATTGCCTCGGCTACATCTGTATGCTACATTAACGTCCTTCACCATATGCGTCTCGATTTGCTTGCACTTCATAAAGATCTCTAGTGCAGCGATTTTTTAAAAATATGTCTGCAGTCTAAGCCTATTGCAGTCCACCCTTGTGACATCTTTGGAAACAACAGTTTACAATATTTTCCCGACGATTTTGTTGGCGAAATTCATATGCTTAATGTGGTGGATGTTCTGAACAGCCTGATTTTTGTTTTGTTAGTGGTTAAAATGATTATCAAACATCTCATTTATTTCTTTGTCAGCACTAGCATTCCCGTGCTCTTGTTTACTAGGAACTGTTTGACGCGATTGAGTTTGGCATGCACAAATTCTTGGTTTGAGAATATATGCGATGTTCTGCGAATACATGCTCTAAAAGCGCCCTTCTCGAATCGTTTGGGATGTTCAATGTAAGTGTGCATTGTGATTCCAACAGTAGAGAGCTTCCCATGCATGGCAGTTACGAGGCACTTCCTAGGCTCTACCAGCACATGGAAGAAAGGAAATATATTGTCCTGGCTTTTCTCACATGTGAAGTGAGTAACCCTCAAATGTTGCCATGAGATGGAGCAATCATCTAACCTCTTTACACCAACCATGATGTTTTTGATGGGCCTGCAGTATGCAGTGGAAGCGATCAAAGAGCCACTAAGCAGTACATTTTCAACATGAGTTATGCAAAAATTGGCAAACAAATGGCAGACAGGGAAGCCAATCACCACCCCATCATTCTTTACATGTAGTTTGCCACTAGGGCTTTTAAATGAGGCATCAACATTTCTCTGTAAGGCATACATCATAGGGGTTTGTGCATGTGCATGCTGCAAGCAAGTGGAACTGTACTGAACTGAACTGAACTGCAAGTGGAACACACCAAGCAAATACCAGAAATGGTGAAGTTGTACATGGGTCTATAAATGCTGAAATTTACAATTGACAAACTGACAAAATGCATGCTCAATTATCACTTTCAATCACCAGTGAAAATCTAAGAACCAATTTTTCCACAATATCTACCACATAACTCTACCAATTCTGAAAAATGTTTTTGAAGAATTGTTTATTACAGTGCCTAAAAAGCTAGCGAAGACAGACAGGAATATGCCACAGGTTACACATGCATCATAAAAATCACCAATTTTGACAGATCACAATGAAAACAAACAAAGCAGGAGTGAGATGTCAAAACACACCAGAGTAGTGAGCAAATTGTCTTGCCCTGATGATGGTTGCAGGCTTTATTCTGTGTGCTTAATTGGTGTACCTACATCTCCGCTCAAGACAGTTACCAATGATCAAGCTTCTGAACTGTCTCTTTCATAATCACAGGTAACTGGTTACTTGCATGTGGTAGCATGTTTTGCTCTGGTGAATGTACAGGTCACAGTGTGTGATGCTAACGTTGTGCTCTGTGTGAACATGGACCTAATGTTGTGCTCTGTGTGAACATGGACCTATCTGATGAGCTTGACCTGTTGCTAAACCAAAGTAGCAGTAAGTATTCCCGTCGCTCCTGTCCCTGCCAAACGATTGAGCTTCCGCGGCGATGCTGCCTTAGAGACAACTTTCACAACAACGCCGTCTATCAGACAGCTTTGCTGACGATAGGTTTGCTGGTAATTTTTTACTTTGGTACCTGTATGGCCGACGGAGGGAAGAGCTACGCTAGCTGCAGGGTTTCGAGTATTGTCGTCCGGGGGAAAAGCTGTGAGGCATCGGCTGACATTGTGACGTCACTGAAAATGGTTTTGCATCGATCGGGATGGGGTCCTTTCGGGCCGACTGAAGGCCATAAGGCTTTTGAATGTGACATGTCACTGGTATTCGGCTGGGTATGTGACGTCACGGGTCGTGAGTTTGCAAGGCTCTTTTGGGTCCACCGAATGCCGTAATGCATCAGCTGGCCATGTGTCGTCACTGTTATTCGATTAAACATCAGGCGCGACCGGCCTCGTTCCATCTTTACTTTTCGTACCTGACTGCTGCAAGCATTTGCGTGCCGCATAAAGGTTTGACCGAATCACCTCAATGTGTGACGTCCCTAATCATCACTTCATACGGGTGCACTTAGGCCCCACGACCACGGTGTGTCATGGTCTACGAAGTATCACCGGATAGCGTGACGCCACTGGTATTCGAATAAATACTGAGCGCAACAGGCCGTGCTTTATTTTTACCTTTGTATCTGACTACTGCAAGCATTGGCGTGCTGGATGAAAGCTGCCGAACCACCTGAGTGTGTGACGTCACTGGTCACGAGTTTCACCGGTGCCTTTCGGCCAACTGAAGACCACAAGGTGTCAGCTAACGACGTCACTGCTATACGACCGATTGTAAGACGTCAATGGTCGTGGGTTTCCACGTGTCCTCTAGGACCGACGAAATGCCGTAAGGCATCAGCTGGCGATATGACGTCACTGGTATTTGGCTGAACATCAGCCAACAGGTCATGCTCCATTTATACCTTTCGTACATGTCTGCTGCAAGTATTGGCGGATTTTTTGCGGCCAACTGAAGGCCATAAAGCATCAGCTAGCGATGTGACGTCACTGGCATTCGACCGTGCGTGTCGCTGGTCATGAGATTTTACGGCCTCTTTTGGGCCGACCGAAAGGTCATACGGCACTGACTGACGATGTGACGTCACTGGTATTCGAATGAACTTCGGGCGCGACAGGCCATGTTCCACCTTTATCTTTGGTACCTGTCCATTGCAAGCATTGCCGTGGAAGGCTCTGCCAAATTACCTGAGTGTGTACGTCACTGACCATTAATTTGTATACTCTTCTGAACCTACTATAGGCCACAAAGCATCAGCTGACGATATGATGACACTAGGTCTCGACTAGACATCATGCGCAACAGGCCATGCTCTATCTAAGCCATGTTTCGTCTGTACCTTTCGCACCTATCTACTGCAAGTATTCGCGCGACACATAGGGGCTCTGCCGAATTACCTGAGCGTGTGGTGTAAACTAGTCATGAGTTTACGCGGGTTTACTCTGGCTGACCGAAGGACATCAAGCATCAGCTGACGATATGACGTCACTGGTATTCGACTATACTCCAGGCGCGACAGGCCATGTTCCATCTCTACCTTTCGTACCTGTCTCTTGGAAGTATTGGCGTGCTGAATGAAGGCTCTGTCGAGTCTCCTGAGTAAGTAACGTCACTGGTCAAGAGCTTTTTACGGGACCTTTTGTACCCCCAAACGGTATAATGTATCAGCTGACGATATGACGTCACTGATGTCCGACTTAACATCAGGCGCGACAGGCCATGTTCTATCTTTACCTTTCGTACCCGTCTATTACAAATACTGACGTGCTGAATGAAGGCTCTGTCGAGTCTCCTGGGTGTGTAACGTTACCGGTCACGAGTTTTTTTCTGGCTCCTTGGAACCCTCTATAGGGAAAAATGCATCAGTTGACGACGTGATGCCAATGGTGTTTGACTTAACATGAGGCGTAACAGGTCATGTTCCATCTTTGCCTTTCGTACCTGTAAAGTATTGGTGCGTTAAATGATGGCTCTGCCGAGTCACCTGAGTGTGCGACGTCACTGGTCATGAATTTTTACGACTATTTTTGGCTGAGCGAAAGCCATAAGGCATCAGCTAACGAAATGACTTCACTGGTAGTCCACTGAGTGTGTGACGTCACTGGTCATGAGCTTTTACGGGCCTTTTTTGGCCGAGTTCAGGCCATTAGGCATCAGATAACGTTATGGCGTCACTTGTATTCGAATTAACATCAATTGCAATAAGCCATGTTTCATCTTTACCTTTCGCATCTGCCTACTGCAGGTATTCGTGCGCTACAAAAAGGCTCTGTCGATTCGCCTGAGCGTGTGGTGTAACTGGTCATGAGTTTGTGCAGGTTTACTCGGGCTGACTGAAGGACATCAAGCATCAGCTGACGATATGACGTCACTGGTAATCGACTAAACTCCAGACGAATCATCTGAGTGGGTGACGTCGCTGGTCATGAGTTTATACGGATTCACTTGGGCCGCCCAAGGCCACAAAGCAACACCTCCCGTGAAGCATCACAGGATGATATGTCGTCACTGTTATTCGACTTAACATCAGGTCCAACATGCCACGTACTTTCTTTACCTTTCGTACCTGTCTATTAAAGGTATTGACGTGCTGAATAAAGGCTCCGTCGAATCTCCTGAGTTTGTGACGTCACTGGTCACGAGTTTTTATGGGCTCTTTTGAACCCATTATAGGTTGTAATGCATCGGCTGACGGCATGACGTTACTGGTGCTCGACTAAACATCAGGCGCAACAGGTCATGTTCCATATTTGCCTTTCGTACCTGGCTGCTGCAAATATTCGCGTGCTATATGAAGGCTCCGCCGAATCACCTGAGTACGTGACGTCACTGATCATCAGTTGGTAGGAGGTCACTTGGCCACCTATGGCTACGAAATTCCGCAGCAGAGGCGGGAGATGCACCATAGTTAAGCACACTAATTTTATTGTGCGCACCATTAAGTAGCAGCTTCAAACGCAACGGGCTGTTTCAACGACTAAAATTTTGAACAAACGTAAACACAAAACAAAGGTGATCCCAGCCCACAAACCGGCGTATGTGCAAAGCTATTCCGCCCGACATCACAGGATGCGCCCCTGAGCAGCTACGGTCCGGAATGCCCTGATGGCTAAATAATAAAGGGCGCCGCCTAGCGGTCATAAGTCTGGGCCACAGACCGAATATCAGTGACGTCATATGGTCAGATGATGCTTGATGTCCTTCCGTCAGTCCGAGTAAGCCCGCGTAAACTCATGACCAGTTACACCACATGCTCAGGTGATTCGGCAGAGCCTTTATGTAGCGCGCGAATACTTGCAGTATAGAGGTGCGAAAGGCAAAGATGGAACATGGCCTGTTGCGCCTGAGATTAAGTCAAACACCAGTGACGTCATATCGTCAACTGATGTCTTGTACCCTATAGGTACAAAAAAGCGGCCCATAAAGGACTCATGACCAGTGACATTACACACTCAGGAGATTTCACAGAGCTTTCCTTACGCATGTCAATGCTTACAATAGACAGGTACGAAAGATAAAGACGAACATGGTCTGTCGCGCCTGGTGTTAAGTTGAATACCAGTGACGTCACATCGCCAGATGATGCTTGATGTCCTTCAGTCAGCCCGAGTAAACCCGCGTAAACTCATAACCAGTCACGCCACACGCTCAGGTGATTGGGCAGAGCCTTTATGTGGCGCGCGAATACTTGCAGTAGATAGGTGCTGAAGGTAAAGATGAAACTTGACATATTGTACCTGATGCTTAATTGAATACCAATGACGCCATATCGTTGCCTGATGCCTAATGGCCTTAAGTCGGCCGAAAAAGGCCCGGGAAAACTCATGACCAATGGCGTCACACACTTAGTGGATTACCAGTGACGACACATCATTAGATGATGCCTTATGGCTTTCACTCGGCCAACAATAGCCTGTAAAAACTCATGACGACGCACTCAGGTGATTCGACAGAGCCATCATTAGGCTCGCCGATACTTTAACAGGTGCGAAAGGCAAAGATGGAACATGACATGTTGTGCCTGATGTTAAGTCGAACACCAGTGACATCATATCGTCAGCTGAAGCATTATACCATATAGGGGGTTGAAAAGAGCCCGTAAGAGCTCTTGACCATTGACGTCATATAACACGCGAATGCTTGCAGTAGGCAGGTACGAAAGGTAAAGATGGAACATGGCCTGTTGCGCTTGATGTTGAGTCGAATACCAGTGACGTCATATCATCCCGCGATGCTTCACAGGATATGATGCTTTGTTGCATTGGGGTGCCCAAGTGAGCCTGTATGAACTCATGACCAGCGACGTCACGCACTCAGATGGTTCGGCACCACCTCGATATAGCGCGCGAATGCTTGCAGTGAACAGGTACGAAAGGCAAAGATAGAGCATGGCCTGTTGCGCATGACATCTAGACGAAAACCGGTGACGTCATATGGTCAGCTGATGTGGTGTGGCTTACGGTAGGTTCAAAGCAGTCTATATAAATTAATGGTTAGTGACGTTACACACTCAGGTAGTTCGGCAGAGCCTTCCTTCAGCATTCAAATGCTTGCAATGGACAGGTACCAAAGGTAAAGATGAAGCATGGCCTGTCCCGCCTGAATTTTATTCGGATACCAGTGACGTCACATCTTCAGTTAATGTCGTATGACCTTTCGTCGGCCCAAAAGAGGCCGTAAAATCTGATCACAAGTGACATCACACACAGTCGAATGCCAGTGACGTCACATCATTAGGTCATGCTTTACGGCTCTCAGTTGGCCCCCAAAGATCCATAAAAATGCATGACCAGTGACGTCACACACTCACGTGATTTGGTAGCTTTTATTCATCACGCCAGTGCTTGCGGTAGACAGGTACGAAGGTAAAAATGAAGTATGACCTGTTGCGACCAACATTTAGTCGAATATCAGTGACGTCACGATACCTGGTGATATTTCACGGAACATGATACACCGCGGCCGTGGGGCCTAAGTGCACTCGTATCAAGTGATGATTAGTGACGTCACGCATTCAGGTGATTCGGTCAAGCTTTTATTCGACACGCAAATGCTTGCAGCAGACAGGTACGAAAGGTAAAGATGGAATAAGGCCTGTTGCGCCTGATGTTTCATTGAATGCCAGCGACGACATATCGTCAGGTGATGCTTTACGGCATTCATTACACCCAAAAGATCCCTAAAGCCTCACAACCAGTGACGTCACACATCCGGCCGAATACCAGTGACATCATATCGCTAGCAAATGCCTTGTAGCCTTCAGTTGGCCCAAAAGAACCCCGATCGATGGAAACCCATTTTCAGTGACGTCACTACGTCGGCTGATACCTGACAGCATTTCTCCATCACGGCAGTACAGGAACCCTGCAGCCAGCGTAGCTCTCCCCACCGTCGGCAATACAGGTACCCAAGTAAAAAAAAGCCGGTTTGCTTTCCTGACCTGTCGTTTTTCCCTTTCCACCTTTTCTCCCAGGAGATACCCCTGTCGAGTTCCAGTTTTCTGACCGTACTCCAATGCTCCGCGTAACTCATTTTCAGAACTGATGCGCATGTTTTCCTACCTTTTCGGGCAGCCAACTATTAAATGTTGAACCACAGCTAACTTCTTAGTATACTTCATGCTGTAGTTGTCACTTAAATTGATCAGTAAAATTAAATGGAATTTTCTCCATAAAGACATATTTAAGCCTATTAAATTCGTTACATCAAGCCCAAAACCATTCTTGCATCTTTACCGGCGGACATTTTACTTCGACGGCGCCCGGATATAGAGAAAAGTTTCTGAATATGCCAGCAGGTGTTGAGTACAGTTCTTGCACTTTTGATTCATTTGTAGCATGCAAAAGTAATTGGCCCAAAAAAGTATGGACCGCAACTGATTTTAGCACGGTGGGGTTGGGCGGGCTCGGGGATTGGTAATGAATGTCGGTGTGCAAATTACCGTACCTTTCGTGCATTTCATTACCGTATGGTGACTGGGAATGAAAGGACCACATCGCGTGTCGATTCCGGCCTCATTTCCGATTTTCATTCCCATTCATTTCATTCATTCAGCTCATTTTGATTTGTGATTCCGGATTCCGAGCTCCGGTCCAGTTAACGCAATAATATCTTTTAGTGATGTGGACGTGGTAGGTGTGGGTGTCGCGTGTGGTGTCGGTCTAGTGTTAATTGGAAAGAATTATTATTTGTATTTTGCTATAGTGAGCATTAGCTTAGGAATAATCAGTAGTACATTGTGCCTAAATTGCCATATTTCTAAAACCACTATCCACATGTGAAGACGATAAGTCACTGATGCACCACCATGCAGAAACAGTCATGCAATTTCAGGGCTGTTGCATTAAAATGAAAAAACAGTGTAAGTGTCAGGATCATAATTATGGATCATCTCAGTTTTCATACCAGCCTAGTGTGGTGGTGCAGACTGCATAAGTCAGAAGAGAAAGTTCCTAAAAACTTGACCACAGCACAACATGAATATTTTCTGGAATATTAAGAAATACAAGAAGTGTATAACCATTTGACTGCAAACCATGTGTGAACTGTCACTTGTTTTTGAAATTCTTATAAATAAGATGCCTGCACCAATGTATTAATTGTATGACACTCCACCAGTTCAGGAAGTAACTTGTAATGTTCCTGTGACATCACAGGCTGCTTGCATGACAGTTCCTTGCATTAACATGCTGTTGTTGAAGTAGGATACTGTTGCATTGATAACAGCATGCAGTATTCAAAACAGTACCTACCAACTTCATGACCACTAATATCAGCAAGGATGCCTGCAAATATATGAATATTGCAGGCAGCAACACTCAGATATTTGTCATGTTGCTTTACATGTTTGCTAGAAGCCAGCTTTAGCCATTTAAAACTGGCTGGCAAAACTCCTTTAACAGGCTACTCCCAGCTGTAGTTAGTTATCATATAATGCTACCAAAACTCCTATGTCCAAGCCACAATCCATTTCCAAGCAAAGCTTCAGTTAAGGTAGGAGTGAAAAATTGTGTTAAGCTTGTGTCTTCTTCCAGCATATTCCTCTGATCTTTGGCACTGAGCAGCCACAGCAAGACCATTTCAGCTCCAATGTTGCTGGGTGGTAGCAGCAGGCAGCTTGTGGCTGCAGCTTTGAGTTTCACCACTTCCTCCTGCCTCCGCAATGCTAGCAAGGTGAGCACATCATTTTTGGATGGTTTCACTGCATGTGTGGACTGGGGTGGGGTCAGATAGTAAGCTTTGACATCCATGACCTCCTTACTTAGGATTGGGTTGCCTAAATGCTGAAATAATGATCCGAGATGGAAGAAAATGTTTGTGTGAGAAAGCCCCTTTGAAAATCTGTTCACATCTAATGGAATATGCTGAATATATGCTATATGCACATGGTACCTGAATGTGTCTCATATTTACACTGTTATTCAGTCAGCAAATGATCAAAACAAATAAATGATATCCCAATTAACAAATCATCATATTTCAAACCTTCAGCTACCTCTGTCTATGCTCAATAACAATTCATCAGATTTTTTTCTTTCTTTTGGCTTTCTCTTTCCATGCTCAGTATTTCATGTACACTATGTTTTTTATTCAACATCATGTTCTTTGCTTCAGCCACAGAGTGTGGAATTCACTCTTGTGATTCACTTGTAGCAAAGTAAAAATTTGTTTTGAGCATGAAATTGTGCATGAGTGAAAGAAATGGTACTTTTATGAAAATCCTAGTCAATTATCCATGATGGTATTAGATGCAGCTCAGTGGGCTCACAAATATGCATTTTTACTTTTAGAACCATCCCCAATCAGATTGGTATGGTATGGTTATAACTGAGGTGCCACATTTTCATTATGAGGATATATATATATATATATATATATATATATATATATATATATATATATATTGTATATATATATATATATATATATATATATATCCATATATATGTATATATATAATATGTATATGTTTCTATACATCAATATTTGAAACTAGTTTCTATATATAGTGTTATTTTCTATATATGAAAAGGCACAGCATTGCCATGAAGCGCATCTGTTCTTAATGTCAAGTCTGGCTGGAGCACACAGTTTCAAGCTGCCATTTTAGTCAGTTATGAATGGCTTCCCAATACAGTTGCCACATTGGCCTTTCTACACTAGGTTTTTGACCATGTGCTGGTGAGAGGCACTGCATTGTGCAGACTGGTGCGTCCACCAGCCAGCTCACCGGCCCCTCCCCCATTTGTCCGTCGACAGTACACGGGCACCTTCGTGCTGAAGCGGCGCCACGCCCCGCTGCTGGGCAAGCGCTCGTTCCCGGATGACTCGCACAGACCGCTGCGGCGCCGTCATAAGATCTACGACACGATCGAGCGGCCCGCCACCCAGCCGCTGCCCGACATCGATGTGATCCTCACCCGCCACGTGGAAGGTGAGCTCGTGTGGCGACACTCCGGTCAGCATCGGCACTCCGTTCGACATCGGCACTCCGACTGACATCGGCACTCCGTTTGACATCGGCACTCAAGCTGACATGGCACTCCGGCTGGCATTTATACTTCGGCTGACATCACGCTGCCAGCGCGTCACTCTGGCTGTTTTATGTTGTGCACGATCAGTACCATGCAGAGTTGCTCAGTTGGAAGTGCTCCGTGCAGCTTGTTTTCAGCGCACGTCACGGTGAAATCGTTTGCAGGGTGGCTGTCGGCTCTGTGCCACCTCGCAGCACACGCTCAAGTGCCTTTTAAGTACCCTGCCGCTGGTCTGCGTCATTCAGCTCATTTTGTACCCTTTGCGCCTGTTTTGTACGCGCGATGCTGCGCGACTGCGCTGACGGGGCTGCCTGGAGAGTGCCAGGCGTAAATGGCGCCCCGCCGGCGCCGCCAGGTCTGGGCAAGCCGGGCGACGTCGTGGCGGTGAAGGTCACGCGCGCACACAACGAGCTGCTGGCGCTCGGCCGCGCCGTCTACGCCTCGCCCGAGAACCTGGAGAAGTACCGCAACGTGGCGACCGAGTCGGCTTCCGAGCAGGAGCAGCAGCACTCGTCCATCTACTCGGCGCAGGTGATCTGCGGCTGGCGGTGGCCACGCCGCGCGCGCGTGTGCTCACCGGAGGCGGGGGGGGGGGGGGGGGGGGGGGGCGCTTCCGTGCCCGACGGCAGGGCTGAACTGTACCCCTGGGCAGAGCAGTGGGTGCACATGGAAAACGGGAGCGGATGTTGTCATGCGCCTGATATCATGAATCCGGTTTCGTGGGTGGATCGTCCCAAGATATCCGTGGCAGCAATTCTGGGGTCGTAGCTGGATTCTCGGCGAATACTGTCGGCAATTTTTTCAACGTCTAGCTTAGAAGGTTAGTTGTGGGCGTGAGTCGGAAAAAAAGACCGTCACAAGCTGGCTCATTTTGACGTGCCGTCGGTAACGCTGTCGCCTGGGCTCCGCAGACCGTCAAGACGCTCTCGAGTAAAGTGCTAGGCGTCACCATGAACCTGGAGGAGCCGTGGACCCTGCAGCCGTGGCACTTACGCGTGGCGTTCCGCAAGGCTGGCTACGTGGTGCCGGAGAGCTGCCTTGAGCTCCCGGCGCAGCCCATCCAGGGCCCGGACGTGGACGGCCTGGAGGGCAAGGAGTTTATCGTCACGGTGACGGTAAGGCGGCGCTGACGGCAGGCTCTGGTGCTGCCGGAGCTGGCGGCAGGCTCGGATGGCGCCGGCGCTGACGGCAGGCTCTGGTGGTGCCGGAGCTGGCGGCAGGCTCGGATAGTGCCGGCGCTGACGGCAGGCTCTGGTGGTGCCGGAGCTGGCGGCAGGCTCGGATGGCACGCGGGCTGACGGCAGGCTCGGATAGTGCCGGTGCTGACGGCAGGCTCGGATAGTGCCGGCGCTGACGGCAGACTCGGATGGTGCCGGTGCTGACGGCAGGCTCGGATGGCGCCGGCGCTGACGGCAGGCTCGGATAGCGCCGGGGTTGACGGCAGGCTCGGATGGTGCCGGGGCTGACGGCAGGCTCGGATGGCGCCGGCGCTGACGGCAGGCTCGGATGGTGCCGGCGCTGACGACAGGCTTGGATGGTGCCGGCGCTGAAGGCAGGCTCGGATGGCGCCGGCGCTGAGTCGCGGCCCTACGGCGTTGACGGTTGCATCGGGGCGTATCATAAGCACATTTCACTGCAGGCACCATCCGGCTGCATTGTCCGGCTGGATGGTGGATTTTATACTGGTGGAAATTCGGCGGTACTATTTCGTGCTATCTAAAAGATTTACTCGTTGGTTGAAGCTTACAATTTATCTTCAATAGTTGTGACATGTGATAAATCTGACTGAACTTGCTGCTTTTTGGCTAAATTGCCGACTAAATGCTGCCTTGTTCTCTTTGTAATACACGCAGTGATCCAAAATGTCAGTATATATGTTTGAATTGGGCTCCGTGCTTGATTCTTCATTCCCGCCTGATTAGTGTTTTGCCAAGGAATTTATGGAAGTAAGTCCCTTTCAGGCAGACCTCGCCCGCATTTTGCATTTTC